GTTACATTTAGTCTTTATTTCATTAAAATCAGTTCATTCCATCAAAAGTTATGATAAATATTCTGAAGTATGGGTAGGGAAGTATAGGTACGAATTTGCTCAACGGTGGCTTTGTTTGAGTCATCAGGTGCATTTTAAACTAATATCATATCATAAATCATAGTTAAATTATGTAAAATAATGATATAATTATGTATATCTAAAACGCAGTAAACAAAAGTATTAAAAAACGTATTAAATATATTATACAAAAATATATTAACCTTATTAACTAAATCTGAAGCACAATAGTTTTCCCATTTCTTCGATAGATGGTGGTGTTGTGAAAATGTAATGCAATTGCAATGTTTTTTTTTCCTGTAGATGAGTTTTCATATTTACTGCTAATCTTTATTATATTACTCGCTGCCCTACTGCGTGTTGATAAACTCAATTTATTCTTTACCGCCGAGTACTCTATGTGGTAAATCAAATTTTAAAAGAGCTATTAACAAATCGTTGGTTTTGGCGAGAGTCAAACTTTATTTTTTGCTTACTGTGCAGGCACTGATTTATAAGTACTCTTGCGTTTTATATAATGTATCAATCGCGTCAATTAATCTCTTTTATATTTAGAATTGATGTTAGCAGCGCCATCTCTCTTTAAATATATACATATAATAAAAATGATGATAACATATTGTGTCTTTTTCTGTACATTGTATAGGTATATATTTTGGTGACTAAAATCATTATGGGGAACTGAAAATAATTAAATAAGAACATTTTATAATTTTTAGAATTGTCTGTATGTCTATTTGTCTGTTATTATATGAACGCATCACGTGTAAAGTAAACATCTTTTATTTTCAAAGAAATCGTTAAGAAAATCATAAAGCGTATCTTCCAGTTACATTTAATCTTTGTTTTATTAAAATTGGTTAATTCTATCGAAAGTAATGATTATTATTTTGAAATGTAGGTTCGAATTTGTTCAATGGCGCCATAAAATCTCAGAAATAGTAATAAAAAGATTTGTGTGTAAAAACAAACGTTCCATAATAATTAATATATTTATACTTAAAACACAAAAAGAGATTTAAAAAGGATGTTTTCTCACACAAAGTACGTAATAGATGGAGTTGTAGAAATTACAAACTTTTCTGAATTGCTGTGTTGAGATTTTTCGCCGATGAATCGTATTGAGACTTACTGAAGAAATTTGTATCCATCGAAGCCATACAACGGAATCCGACCAAAAATAAAAATTTTGCAACGAAATTTCGTGATATTGTATTTATAATATACGCAAAATCAGTACTGCCACTTTAGCGCTTTGGGAACTAGATTTAGCGCTTTTTTGGAATGTATAGCGCGCATTTCGAAATTTTAGCCCTAGCTTAATCCAGCGCTTTTTGGTGTATTTAGCACACATTTCAATATTTTAGCGACTAGCGGGTTATTAACTCTTTTATAGCAGCACTGTTAGTCCATATTACCGATAATAATAATAATGACCTTTATTATTTTTTCCCACAAATAGTACATTGCAGTTTATCTTTTTCAAACATATTTTTTCCACAAAACAAAGAGCATGGGAGACGAGTCCAAACTAGGATACCCTGTGCTATGGATCTCCTGGCTTCCCCTTTAGGATGATCAACTTGATTTTTTTACCGACGACTATAAGCGGGGAAACCCCTTTATTAAAGTTTTTGTTCATGGTTTTGGCAACGCATTTATTTTGCTTTATTCAGTTTCAGTCAGTTGCTTAGAGCACAGCTAAGTTAAAAGTTACTTAGAAGTTATAACACAAAGAAACTGTGTAGCAACCGCAATCAGATGCTGACATCTGAAACTAAGTTGCGAAATACATTGCACTTTAAAACAATTAATGACATTTTTATTGTTCGTACAGTACTAACTACTGTTGACAGCAATTGCCATAATTATAAGTCGATGTCCTGCGAAGTATTGATACATCAAAAAAATATTGCCAGAAAAAAACTTAATGTTGTTTTCTTTATTATGATTATATAAAAAAACACAAACTTTGTTTGTAGTTAATTTAGCGCGAAATCTAGGGCTTTTTTAAAGCGCTGTTTTCATGAAATCTAGCGCTTTTTGTGTTGTCCTAGAGCTGAATTAGTTTTTTTTATCTGGCAGCACTGCCCAAAAACCCTCTATTAAGAAGTAACTTTCCTTTCAGTTTGAAGCGCGTTCAGTTCCCAGTTACAGTGAGCGTGTGTTATGCGATGACCGTAAATAAAGCGCAAGGTCAAACTTTACGCGTTGTAGGAGTGTACCTCAGTACTGACTGTTTTGCACATGGCCAACTCTATGCTGCTTTTTCCCGCGTTAGTAGCCCCCGTAACCTTTTAGTGTACACCCGGCTAAGCCTACTTCTCACGTCGTTTACACAGAAGCTCTATCATAAACGACTTAGAACTTTGATGATAATGATTTATTTAGTTACCACTTATTGATACAGTAATGAAATAAATCGTTTAATATTCTCTTACCTAAACGACAAATTGTTTATGTAAAACCTGTATACCCGAGCTACGCCGCGGGCACAGCTAGTTTATAATAAATTGTCAGAATACTTAAGAGCCGAAACAAATTTTAATAAAAATAAACTTATTAAAAAGTTACTATTCAATTAATGAATACATCGAGGAAAATAATTTTTGAGTGTCTGTCCCTCTCCTGTTCATTGCTATGCCTTTCGAGGTGCATGTAATTGTTAGTACTTGCATGCTTGTTTGATCACTAAGTCTCATGTAACGCAATTTATGAATAAATAAATAAATACTTTTTTATTGCAATTGCGGTATAGATCAGAAAGTAAATTCCAAGTAGCGGAACATGAATGGATTTCCGATATGAATTTATCAATATCCATGGTGACGCGTGCGACGCGTAGGATGCCTACGGTTAACTGCGAGGCGGGTGGAATATCGCGACAGTAGCCGGTGTCGGCGTCTTGCACTTGTGTGTCTTGTGGCCGCCACAGACCACACGTGTGCGGCGAATTGCAACAAAATGTATTAAAAAGAGTTTGAAATGCTTTTCGCTGGCCACCGTTGGCAGTGGTCGGTGGCCCGTTTGCGCCGAACCTAAGCCATTTTTCCACGGAGCCGTCAATCAGTCGTGAATAAATCAGAAAAACAATCTAAAATATTTGAAACATGGTAATTAAATGAAACTAGTTTTTACGGATTTTACCGCATTTAATGAGTTCTTTTTTATATTCCCGACGGCGGTTGACACTTACCATCAGGTAAGCCACATCCTAGTTTGTCCCTCTTCTATAAAAAAAAAACTTAGCTACACCCGTGATCAAGTCAGGTCAAGGTAGGGCGACTGAGGTGGTCAACGTCCCGATGTCATAATTAACCATGGCTATCGGGAATATAAAAATAACGGAAAAAAATCAAAAAAAAATAGTTTCGTTGAATGGTTAGTGTTTAAGGAAATAATAAGGTTAGATAGAAGAGTAATAATAAATAACTTAATTGACACCAAGAAGTCAGTAATTCCTTAATTAGTCCATATATAAGATTATATTATTTACTTAAAAATGGTATGATACGAGTATGATATTATTTAAGAAAATAGCCCCACTGGGTTTCTTACTGATTTTTCCTAGAGCCGAGTTTTTTGCTGACCCAGTGGTAAAAACATATTTTTTTTTTATAGAATTAGGGTGAGTATAGAATAAGGCAGCAAAACGCTGTCGTCCTCTGATAGTAAGTGGATGCTATGGCCCATAGCATCTATATTTATCATCATATTGAGTACGTTAGCTTTTCGTTGCTGCAGTTAAATAGACTCCTGCTAGTAGGAGTGTAAATATTTGCTAACTTAGTAGATTTTGTGACTAAAATATAATGGTATTAACATATTTTTTATATTTTTATTTTTTTAATTTCATTTTTAGATAAATGTGTCAAATGAGCGCACAGTCTACCTTATGGTAAGTAGTTGCCATTGCTCATGTACATCTACATCTATTCTCGATTAAGAATCAAAACTCATACGCATCATCCCTGAGACTAAAATAGAATACCTCGTTTCCAGAGAAAAAGATCTCCGGTTCTCTACACTCTCCATACGAAATACATCAGCATTAAGCCGCCTTTCACGCCGGTATTCTGTGAGAACTTAGTCTTTCCACGGTCGAGCCGGCCAATTCATGCTACACTATAATATAGTTGCATGGCTCTACCATGTAAAAAGTAGAGCAGTTGGTAAGATGCATTTTACGTGGTAGTGCCACGTTTCAGCGTATAATAGCTGCAGTAATCATAGTTCGGTTCAATTGGGAAATAACCATTCCAGAACACCAGCATTATATAGTTAAAAAACGCATGTAAAATTAGCAATTTAAAACATGTGAAACGCTATGAAACTCGTTTAATTACTTGTACATACTGTGTTGTAGTATTCATATAATAATTATGAGGTGAAAAAATTCCAAATCAACTGTTTCATATTTAGTCTACTGAACAAGAATTATTCTAAATAAACAAATTCATTAATTCGCTTAATCTTTAACTGCTAAGACATAAAATACGGATATTAGTTGTTGTCGTCCGAGCGTCGAGTAATAGACACCTGTAATTCTGTTTTTTAAAGTTATTAGTTCGTTTCAAGCAAAATTCTTAGTTATTAAGCATTAATTCTTCTTTTACTGTGTTTAATTATCGTGGAGTTAACAATGTGTGAAATTCTAGTTCAATCAGTGTTCTCTGTCTGAAGATATTTAAGATAAGAGTGATGTTGTACTTCACATATAAAAACATTAGTTCGTTGACCTCATTTGCTACAGATCGTCGCTAACGTAAATATTAGTAACTAATTTCGCCACCTAACATAACATAGACTGTAGCGCAGCAACAGAGCACGTGACATTAAGCTGAGCGTCGTGGGTTCAAATCCAAAACTGAGATATCTTTTAAATTATTTTTTTTTTGTTTATTTAGTTTTTTTTTATAAACAATTTTTATCATTAAATCATGGCTAACTTTGAATGTGCTGGGTGCCCTAACGCACTGGATAACACCATATCATTGCAATGTCACCGATGCAATGACAAATATCATGTAGCATGCACGCGAATCACAATGCAAGATTTTAATGTGATGAGCTCGGAAATGAAAAGTTTATGGATATGTGACGTTTGCAGGTGTAAACAACCAAGAGGTGATCATTCCAACACTCCAGTTCGAAACTCACCGGTGGAAATGGAATTCGTAACTCAACGTGTAAAAAGTCGTTCTAATTGCTCTTGTTTATCGGCTAGTAATATACGTGAAATGATTAGAGAGGAATTGCGCAACATTTTTAGTAACGACTTACACCCTAAAATTCATGAAATAAAAAATACACTTGCCTCATTTGAAACTTCTTTGTCGTCATTAAACCAAGATATAGATAAAGTTAAATCCGATCATGCTAACCAATCTGAACAAATGCAACATATTACTAAGGAGAACGAAACTTTGCGTGCAGCTAACAAGAGTATCATAACTCGTCTTACGCAACTTGAGCAGCAGACACGAGCTTCAAATATTGAGATCCAATGTGTTCCAGAGAATAGACAAGAGAATTTAGTTAACACAGTACAACAACTAGGCAATATCATAAAATGCCCTATAGCCCCAGAAAATATACATTTTTGTGCAAGAATAGCGAAAATGAATACTAAAAGCCCCCGACCGAGATCGATATTAGTAAAGTTCAGTAGTCCTAGACTACGTGACGATTTTTTAGCAGCCACCATTAAATATAATAAAACAAATAATACGGATAAGCTTAACACTAGCCATTTGGGAATCGCAAGCGCGAAAAATACTCCAATATACGTTGCTGAAAATCTTACGCCAGAGGGAAAAATCTTACATGTTGCAGCTCGCCGTAAGGCGAAAGAGCTCGGTTTCCGTTTTGTTTGGGTTCGTGATGGAAAGATTTTTGTTAGAAAATCTGAAGGATCAAACTACATTCATATACGAAATCATGATACTGTGAATAATTTGTCATAGAGTGGCGCTAAATTCGCTAAATTGTTTTTTTTTTTTATTACTTAAAGGCACTTTACAGAATAAAATTTCTATTTACTACCAAAATGTTCGAGGTCTAAGATCAAAAACAATTGATCTATTTAATAACATAGTCTGTAATTCATACGATATTGTAATTATGACGGAAACTTGGTTAAATGGGAGTGTTTTCGATTCTGAAATTTTTGATGATCGTTATAATGTTTATAGACGTGATCGGGAAAGTAGTGGTTTTCACGCTTCAAAGAATGGCGGGGGTGTACTTATAGCTGTATCTAAGCAAATAAATTCGGGGCGGCTCTTTAATTTCGAGTCCAAGTGCGAGGATCTTTGGGTTTGCGTAGAAGTAGAAAACGTCCAAGGCAAGTCTGAAAGACTTTATATATGTGCTGTGTATATTCCCCCACCCGTCCAAAAACACATTTTTGAACATTTTATTAATAACTCGAGTCGAGTATTGGAATCACTCGATGAAAATATAATTGTTGCTGGAGATTTTAATCTAAGTAGTATAACATGGTCTTTAGAGCCCCACGGGCATCTTTGTGCAAAATACTCCAACAGCTATCTACAGAATCTCTTAACAGACTTTCTCTCGTGCAATGAATTGAACCAATTCAATCAAATTAAGAACTCTAAAAATAAAATGCTCGATCTTGTCTTGTCTAATATTAACATTGTTGATATTCTGTCATGTCCTGATCCTTTGACAAGTGTTGATCCCCTTCATCCGCCATTAGTTTTTTCAATAGATTTTACAGATCCGGCACCTCTAGTCCCTAATAACACAATTACAAAATTTTGCTTCCACAAGGCTGATTATGAAAATATAAGGAAGGATCTAAATGAAATTGACTGGAGGGAAATTTTGGGTGAATGTCTTTGTGTTGATGATATGGTTGCAGTATTTTATGACATAATTCGTAAGTTAATACGTAAATATGTACCTAAGGCTAAACCGCGTAGTCATAAATACCCAGTTTGGTTTAAAAGGCCGGCAACGCATCTGCAATTCCCCTGGTGTTGCGGTTGTTCATGGGCGGCGGTAGTCACTTACCATCAGGTGAGCCGCATGCTCATTTGCCCCCTCTCCTAAAAAAAAAAAAATCTCCGTGTCTGATAAAATGTATTATAGAAAAATATAAATATAGGATGAAAGTTCGCAAATATAACAATCCTCGCGATAAACTCTCTTTTGACTTACTGAAAAGAAGATGTGATGAGATGCTAGCATACTCCTACGCTAAGTATAGAGAACGCCTTGAACTCTCTTTAAAGTCAAACCCAAAATTGATTTGGTCATTCCTAAAACAAAAGAAAGGTAAAAGTTCGTATCTTTCTAAAATTAAAGACGGTAATAAATTTGTTTCTAATGGAACAGACATTTGTAATGTTTTTGCTAGTCATTTTTCGTCAGTATACAGTCGCAATAATAATATTCAAAACTTCGATACTAGTCCTAATCTTATGAACCCTTGTTGCAATGTGTACCTTGATTATATATCTTATACAGTGGACCAGGTTTACAATGTTTTAAAAAGACTTGACTTTAGGAAAGGAGCTGGAGCAGATGGCATTCCATCAATATTTGTACGCAATTGCGCTAACGCATTGGCCCTGCCTATTGCACTGATAATCAATAGATCTCTTAGGACTAGTACATATCCAACCTTATGGAAAGAAGCCCTTGTGTTACCTTTGTTCAAAACCGGAGACAAAGAGGATGCTAAAAATTATAGACCTATTTCCATTATTTCTGTTTTTGCAAAGGTGTTTGAGAAACTTATATGTCCCGTTGTTTCATGGCACTGTAAACAATTTGTTACATCTGAACAGCATGGGTTTGTGAAGGCTCGATCAACAGTAACTAACCTTGTTTCCTTTGTGGAAGACATTACTGAATCTCTTGATACTGGCCAATCTGTTGATGCAATCTACACAGATTTCAGTAAGGCCTTTGACAAGGTTGATCACTCTATTTTACTTGTCAAACTCAAAAGGATAGGTATAGCAAACCCTTTACTGGACTGGTTTAAGTCATATCTTGCCAATCGGTCGTCAACTGTTGTTGTTGATGGTTATGCTTCTGAGCCGTTTTTTGCCTATTCTGGCGTACCTCAAGGATCTCATCTTGGGCCTTTGTTGTTTAACATTTTCATCAACGACATCAATAAATGCTTTGAAAATTCTAAGTTTTATTTATTTGCTGACGACCTAAAGATCTTTAGACCTGTCTCCTCAAATTCTGATGCAGAATTCTTACAGGAAGACTTAAATAACTTGACATTATGGTGTCGTAACAACGGTATGACACTAAATGCTGACAAATGTCATGTTATAAAGTTTTCTAGAAAGAAAACATCTCTTGCAACAACATATTACATTGATGGTCATATTCTGTCTGAAGTTCCTCACATACGCGATTTAGGAGTTACGCTTGACAATAAGCTTCGTTATAATATCCACATTGATAATGTTGTCAACAAAGGTTTTAGGACTTCCTCTTCCGTAACTGTAAGCAATTCAGGGATACTCGCACTAAAATAATTATTTACTCAGCTTTGGTACGAAGTATCTTGGAATACTGCAGCGTAGTATGGAATCCCCACTTTAATATTTACTCACACAGAATCGAAAGGATACAAAAGAGATTTCTTTTGCATTTATCTTACGATCATAATCTAGTTAAAACTCTTAGAACTTACGAAGATAGGCTAAATTACTTTAACCTTCAACCACTTTCGAATCGAAGACAGCTCCTTGACCTTATTTTCTTGTATAAGTTGGTGAATGGCGTCATTGATAGTTCTTATTTACTAGCCAAATTAAATTTTCGTACCCCATTGAAGTCAAAAAGGCCGTTGTCTTTTATACCATTCGTAGAAAAGAGCACACGTTCTCGTCAAGCGCGCTATTCTCCGATTAATAGATTGATGTTGAGTTATAATGCTATATATAAATTATCACATAAGAATTGTATTAGTGCCATAATGAATACTGATAATAAACATAAAGATAGAAAAGTTGATATTGACATATTTTCAGATAATCTTTGGAAATTTAAAAGTGATTTATTACATTTATATTCTTCAAATAATTGTAATTCACAGTAAAACTATATTGTTTTTCTTACTAGTAATATAAAAGCTAAATTGTGATTAAGTAATGATTGTATATTATGATTTATTAATTATTTTATTTTTGTTATGTTTAACGTTTATGAAATTTCTAATGTTAATAACAATAGTGGAATCAATGCATGATTTAATTTAAATAATTATATAATACTAAATTCTGATATACTTATTGATCTCTTAATTCTTGTATTCAATTTAATTCACTGCATATGTCTACTTGTGTCTATTTTTTTTTATGAAATGTGTGTAACACCTGTAATTAAGTCAACACTTAGTTTTTATGATTTTTTGCAAAAATATTATGCTTTTGTTAGTGTATGTCTTGTTGGTGTTAAATAAATAAAAAATAAAAAAATAAATAAAAAAAATATTAAATATGGCCCAGATGTCTCCACAGAACGTTGTTGTTACGCGTATTAATGCGCTATAAAACTACATGTATATAAATTATTATATTTTTATTTAATTATGTTATAATTTATGAAGTTAACAAATTATTATTTACCGTTATTACTTTAATTATTTAATCTTATTGTGAAGATATTAATTATCACCCGCAATTTAGTTCGAGTGAAACAGTAACTACTTAATTTTTGTCCTCTAGATTGAATTTCAGTCTTGGCAGCCAGTCTCGATGGAGCTGGCCATCTGCGCAAGATAGGATTATAGTGCCCAATGTATGTGCATAATCACAGGTACGCTCTCTATTGTCCCATTCGCATAGTCCGATGGAACACCTCATGACCTCTAGACCTACGAGGCAGTCACCACACAGGTACGTTTTAGCGGTAGCTTTTATTTTTCAATAGTAAAAAGTATCTCTTGCTTGCTATTGCTGCAGAAGTTGCAGAATATATTACAAGCATCTCATTTTTGATGGACGTAAAATACATAAACTGCAATCGGTAAGCTGACTGTCAAGCATAGCGATTATGACAAAACTTACTTAAGATAGGAAATGTCCACCAGTGAAACTTTACGGGGTTGACTTGAAAGTGAATGATGGAGTGGATTTTTTTTTATAGAATAAGGGTGACAAGTGAGCACACCGTCTACCTGATAGTAAGTGGGTGCATTGGCCCATAGACATTTGATTAAGAAACAAGATGAAAATAAGAAAATCGTGGTGCCCTGAGGACTAAAATGAAATGCCTCGTTTTGAGTGTAAAGGGTCTCTGTTTAAATAAATTTTATAATTCAGAAGGAAAAAGTATTTTTCGAACGTCTTTTAAACTTTGAATCTATCCAAACACTAAAATCCAAGTCTCTGTTTGTGTTGTGTATTGAGAAATTATTTTGTATTACATTATTAACACTCTTTGATATTCTGAGACTTTGTTGAAAATTTGAACGTTGTAAATTTACAAATAGCGGAGCAATTAATGTTTCGTTAAAAAAGTCAATGTACTCGTAAACCTTGATAAAATCATAATACGCGCTATTGTATATGACATAATATTCTCTCAAATTTATAACTCACTAGTTGACCAGGCAGACGTTGTTCTGCCCTTTCAGACGATCATTTGCTTTCCTAAAAAAAAACGCCTGAGATTAGCAATAAAAAAATTGAGGGTCACTTATCGGGATAAAAACTATCCTATCTCTCAAGTTGAATCAAACTGCACACAGTGTGCAGTTCATTGAAATCAGTTCAGTAGTTTAGAACGTATAACGTATAACGTATAACGAACCAAACGGTTTGCTACATAGTTCATTATGCGTACAGCAAAGGACTGGAATAAGTTGCAAGCATCTGAGTTTCCATCCGATTACAATGTGGTTGTCTTCACGGCAAGAGTGAATAGGCTTTTATTAACTCAGTGCACTACACCATCTTAAGCGCTG